ATCTAGGAGGCACAATTTATATGGATAGTGTTTATTTTTTTACAATAACAAGCTGGAATAAAAACAAGCAAAAATGAAATAAAAGTACTGACTTGAATCTACTTCTTGTCTTTTTTAAAAATGTAAGGAGTAGAAAATACAGATAATTGTGTGAAAACGTAAGAAGTAGAAGTAAAATTAAGCTGAAAAATAATTACTCAAGTAAAGTACAGATACACAAAAAATCACTTAGGTATAGTAACAAAGAATTTGTACTTATTTACTTTACAACTTTGGACAGACAATAATGTTATTTGAAACTTGAATCTTGAATTTAATTGTGGTTCATGTGAGCATTACTTTTTACCCCTTGGACAAGTATTTACATATTTCTATGGTTATTTGCAAGCAGCAGCTACGATAGCTTGTCCGATGCCACTTGTAGCAGGGATATTTCACTGCAATAAAAATATTTACAAAACAGCATTTACTTGAATCCATTTTGGCAATTAACACATAATAAAACTCAGTTTCTACAAATTGAAGTAATTGAAAAAGCTATCTACAGCAGGTGAGATATTAATTGGTCAAAACCTCATTGTGGAACCCCACTTCAAACGACCTGAATGATCCCTTTAGACCCTTTTGATGTCTTAATATTGGAATGTGTGCAGCGATCCCCTTTTTTCTTTCCTGATCACTCTCAAAATATGAATTTCATTTGTCCCGGCTGACTGATCAAGTCTCTGAGTCTCAGTTGTGTGATGACTGCGTCCCCCCGCCCCTTCGTCTACTGCTCTGCCTGATAAACCAGCCACTCCGGGCCCCGAGAGATCCAGTATCTCTGTGAAGTCTGTTGTCTGGCTAAATGAAAGGCAGTACAACACAACAGACAGCTCTCATAGACAGAAAGATAATTGGAGAAGCTTTATCTGAGAGAACGACACGTCTGTATTCATTATGTTTTAATTCTCAAAGGTTCGCTCTGATTTACAAGCATGTCCTTTTTCCTCCAAGCTGCTTCGTTTGATGGTTATAATGTTATGTCATGAATGCCATATCACAGCAAAAATACCAGTGTTAATTTAACACCCACAGTGYTAATTTCAACACCAACAAAGTGTCTATATGTGTCCACACTCGCTGGTTTTAAAACATTTGCGACGGTATTAAATTTTAACACCCATTATTTTGTTACTTTAACACCAGCTAGTGTTTAATATTCAACAATTMTTGGTGTCACATTAACATAAAAATAGGGTTAATGTTAAAATATAGTGTTAAMWGTAACACCAGCCAGTGTTAAATATTCAACAATACTGGGTGTCATATTAACAATTCAACAGTGTTAAAATCAAGTGTTAAAAGTATCACCAGTGTATTATTACTAACAAAGGAAATTATGGTGTTATAAGGTTAACAGACACCACAATGTGTCAAATCACCATATATTTGAGAGTGTAAACTTAACACTCAGATTTAATACCAAACTCTCTGTGGTGTTGCATTAACACTCAGTAGTTAAAAAGTATAATGGAGTCACTCTTCACACACCAGGACATTCCTCTCACTCATGGTGTCAATTTTTGGCCAATAASATMAACTTAAAGTTGAACAACTTGATCAAACTGAACAAGAAAACAAACCAGAACAACCAATTTTTACTCTCATGAACTTCTTTAATGGTCAGAAACATACAAAAACATCATTTCTGCAAGATTTGAATGCTGGGTAAATGCTGGTCTGTCTGACATGAGGTGGAAGAGGGCGGGGCTTTTCAGAATACTGCTTTCAACACTGTATGGTGTTTATATAACAACACTGTTAAGTGTTATATAAAACTTAATAACGGGTGGAGCTTATTCAACACTGTCCAGTGTTGAGACAACACGGAGGAAACCAACACTGTGAATTGACACCAACACTGGGAGTCAGTTTACTCAGAAAGTGTTAAAATAACACTAAGTGGTGTTAACTCAACACCCAAAAGTTTAACACTGAAATTTTAACACTCC